AACAAGAAATTCTACAAGAAACCATCAATACTTTAACCACCTCGTATCCATGGAATGAGCCAATTTCAGAAGCTTTCATTCTGAGGGAGACCTCCCATCTCTTTTATTCTCTTAGTGTCCCCTCTGAATGTCCAGTGTCCTTCCAATGGACTGACGATAAATGTGGAGGACACCGACTCCCAAGTTCTAGGTGAATAAATTCAAAGTCCCCAACAGCTAAAAGTTATAAAAACTGGACTTGTTTATCTGATATGTATAATTTGTTAAGGAATGGGTATAAATCAATCCAATGAGAGTGTAAAGCTTTTATAAATGACAAGAGAGAATCTCCAGAAGGACAAGAAAGGCCCATTCTACCTCCAGTGAAAAGGGCCCTTTACAGAAGGGTCTGTGTTGATGGCTTTGAGTTGGGCAGATGAGCATGCTATTGACATCAGTTTGAGACGCCTCTGAGATTACTCAGAATTTATTGTTAGGTGTTAATCAGTGGAGCCCTTAGAATCTGCTGGAGTTTTATGGTCCCTTCTAGCCTTCCTAACATTGACCCGTCCTGTAGATGGTCTCAAAAACTCACCAGTCTTTCAACAGTTGCAGAAAGAATCTTCAGTCCTTCTTTTGCAATTTATTGGTTCAAACGTCTTAGGTAGAGAAGGTGAGGAGTTCAGGGTACCCCAAAATTTCCTTCATTCAGTAGAGTCTTCACAGAACTCTTTGGGCCCAGGAGGGCTACTATCTTCCAGTATCCTATGACCTCTGCCACAGGTCAGCTATAGGACTCTTTGGGCCTCTGCCATAGGCCAGTTTACATTCTGTAGGCCCAAATGGATGGCTACTTTTTGGTTTCTTTGACCTCTGCCTCAGGCCAGTTTAGGACACTCGAGGCCAAAATGGGCAGCTAGGAAAACAAACACCCTTTCCTGGCTGTAACTTCCTCCTCCAAATAAAGGGCTTGGGGGCAAAGAATGGACTTCTCTGGAGCTACAACTTCCCCAGACAGCAGCCTGAGAGAAGAGAACTGGATCCTTCTACACTCATATCGTCACTAACAGAGCCTAAAACACAATGAACTTTCTGGAGCTACATAATCTCAAGGCAGTTTGGGGGGGAAGGAAGGAACTTACTAGAAGGTCTCTTTAAAGTTGTATCCTCTTCCCCAGATCACATCACTGCCACAAACCTGTCAGTGATTGGTCAAGACAGAAAAAAATGTCCTAACCCCAAACAATGTACTGTATCTTCTTGGTCTACTAGAGAGCAATTAACAGAAGCAATCAATGTGCTGAGTTTAGGAGAAACCCAACAAATGCAGACAACAAACAAGGCTCAGGCCGGCTACAACTAGCTAGAAATGCTTGATTTGGGTAGGAAGATGGTAGTTTCGGCAGGGTCCCTACAGGTGTATTGGAGTTCCTCCTAACCCTCATGTGACCTGCTTGAAGAGGTTTTTGTATTCCCATAGACGGGTCAAGAAGCAGTTCTGATACAAACAAAAGCCCATTGATATTGGCCCTAAGATGGTAAGCCATTGGAGGCCAACTTACAGTACAAGATATACAGTATATCCTACATGTGATCCCCAGAACATTGACCTGACTGAACTTGATGGACATGGCTTTACAGACTTACATAGTGAGGTTTAAAATTTAAAAAGAAGAACAAAAATGCATCTTACATACTCAGAACTGAACATCCAGAGGATCCAGACCCAGAGGAAGGCAGAAAACCTGTATAAATCACAGTCCAATGTGCTCCAATAGTGAAAGAGATGAATTCCTAATCATCCTAAGGCAAGCAGGTCCTCCCTGGACCAACAACCTACATTTCTTGTAAGTACTTATAGCCAGCTATATCTTGTCCGTCCAGGATTAGGGTCATCCTGCAATCTACAGCAGTGTTCCTCATGCTTTTTTCAGTCAAGGCACCCTCTAACATTGTGGTCAGTCTGGAGGCACCCTCTAACATTGTGGTCAGTCTGGAGGCACCCTCTAACATTGTGGACAGTCTGGAGGCACCCTCTAACATTGTGGTCAGTCTGGAGGCACCCTCTAACATTGTGGTCAGTCTGGAGGCACCCTCTAACATTGTGGTCAGTCTGGAGGCACCCTCTAACATTGTGGTCAGTCTGGAGGCACCCTCTAACATTGTGGTCAGTCTGGAGGCACCCTCTAACATTGTGGTCAGTCTGGAGGCACCCTCTAACATTGTGGTCAGTCTGGAGGCACCCTCTAACATTATGGTCAGTCTCGAGGCACCCTCTAACATTATGGTCAGTCTGGAGGCACCCTCTAACATTGTGGTCAGTCTGGAGGCACCCTCTAACATTGTGGTCAGTCTGGAGGCACCCTCTAACATTATGGTCAGTCTCGAGGCACCCTCTAACATTATGGTCAGTCTGGAGGCACCCTCTAACATTATGGTCAGTCTCGAGGCACCCTCTAACATTATGGTCAGTCTGGAGGCACCCTCTAACATTATGGTCAGTCTGGAGGCACCCTCTAACATTATGGTCAGTCTCGAGGCACCCTCTAACATTATGGTCAGTCTGGAGGCACCCTCTAACATTGTGGTCAGTCTGGAGGCACCCTCTAACATTATGGTCAGTCTCGAGGCACCCTCTAACATTATGGTCAGTCTGGAGGCACCCTCTAACATTGTGGTCAGTCTCGAGGCACCCTCTAACATTATGGTCAGTCTCGAGGCACCCTCTAACATTATGGTCAGTCTGGAGGCCCCTCTAACATTATGGTCAGTCTCGAGGCACCCTCTAACATTATGGTCAGTCTCGAGGCACCCTCTAACATTATGGTCAGTCTCGAGGCACCCTCTAACATTGTGGTCAGTCTCGAGGCACCCTCTAACATTATGGTCAGTCTGGAGGCCCCTCTAACATTATGGTCAGTCTCGAGGCACCCTCTAACATTATGGTCAGTCTCGAGGCACCCTCTAACATTATGGTCAGTCTCGAGGTACCCTTTAACATTTTGGTCAGTCTTGTGGCCCCCCATTCTAAAATGTTAAAAAACTTTTCGAATAGTTTTATATGATGCAGCAACATCCACACATGTAGGACACCCAACATTAGAGGTGATTTATTCTTCCAAACCAAATACACTTTTGCACACTGGTACTGACTAGTATTCCAATGTTTCTCTTCTCCCTCAGCTTTTCTCCATCACTCAGATAATGTGACCCCAGCACTGATGGAGAGGGGTGGGGGAGGGTCAAACTAGGATGCTGTGCAGGCAGCTGACATCCTTCTTATCAATTGATGATGTCATTGGTTGTCAGGACACCGGTGGCTAGAAGGCCGTAATGGGGCACATTGAAAACCTGTGGTTTTGTGTGACTAAAAGGCCGGCTTGTTCCACCCGCTGGCTTGTATATAAGTTTTGGGCAATTTTTAGACATTTTGCCAAGGTACCCCTGAAGAAACCTCAAGGTGCCTGGACACCCTGGTTGAAAAAGGCTGATCTACAGAGCTGGCTAGAAACATGCTCCTGAGGAAGTCTTTTCCACATCTTCAGAGCTCTTACTGCAAAGAAACCTTTCCATATTCAAAGGTTAACTTGTACAAGTGTGCCCTCAGGACCTTAAAGTGAACAACATTTCACCAAGTTCCCTATATGGACCATATACGTATTTATACACAGTGACCATATCCCCTCATGACTGCCTCTTCCTATAGCTGAACTCCTCCATGCCTCTGTGGCATCCATTTGGTGGCCCTTCTCTGCTTTCCGTCCAGTTCTTCACCACCCTATGATTCCAGATGAGGTCTTCCTAATACTTTGTTCAGGGGCAGATTATGTCTTACAAGTGTGCATGTTATTATGAGTGCTGCATCATGACTATCATCGCTGATACTCTTCTCTTCACACCTTCTTCTCACTGTGACCCACCAACCCAACCCCTGGATCCTGACCCCACCCATCCTCTCCTCCAGCTCCGAATCCTAAAATCCTAATTTAGAAGAGAGTTCGGAGAAAACTGGGCAAAAATAAAGGTTATTTAAGCTATTTCTCTTCTGCAGGAATGTTCATTTATTGTAGGCCGTAGTAAAATCCCAGGTTTTGGCCAGTAGATGGAGCTAAAGAGCAGAGGAAATACACAAGAGATACAATTTATGCTAGATGGAATTACAAATACTGACTACTTCCCTCTAGTGTTCTCTAGAATTGTCACACTGTATTTCTGGTTGCATCTTTCCTATGCTCATCAGCCCCATCTAGTGGTTATAATATGGTATCTTAATACTTTACAAGAAAAAGCACATTCTTACCCGATTCACACAGAACGAATGTACATAAAGATATAATGGATGAAGAGCTCTGTGACATTTGTATAAATAGACCATTTGTCACCAATTTATAAGGGAGATGAAAATAGGAGCCTTCTATTTCTTTCATTCCTCCAGGTTTGCCCAACTTTGCTGAACGTTTTTTTATGATCTCTCTAAGTTGGGAAATCTTATCTTCAGAATCTTACTTACTTACTTTCACCGCATTGGAAATACACTCCCCGGCCACTTTTAGGTCCACCTTGCTAGTCCCGGGTTGGACCCCCTTTGGCCTTCATTCTTCGAGGCATAGATCCAACAAGGTGTTGGAAATGTTGCTGAGAGATTTTGCTCCATATTGACATGATGGCCTCACGCAGTGGCTGCAGATTTGTTGGCTGCAGATTTTTTGGCTGCACATCCATGATGGGAATCTCCTGTTCCACCACATCCCAGAGGTGATCCATTGGATGGAGATCTGGCGACTGTGGAGGCCATTGGAGTACATTGACCTCATTGTCATGTTCCAGAAACCAGTTGGAGATGATCTGAGCCTTGTGACATGGTGCATTATCCTGCTGGAAGGAACCATCAGAAGATGGGGACACTGGAGTCATAAAGGGGTGGACATGGTCAGCAACAATACTCAGGTAGGTTGTGGTGTTTAAACAATGCTCAATTGGTACTAAGGGGCCCAAAGTGTGCCAAGAAAATCTCCCCCACACCATGACACCACGAGCACCAGCCTGAACCAATGATAGGAGGCAGGATGGATGCACCACACCATGACACCACCACCACCAGCCTGAACCATTGATACAAGGCAGGATGGATCCACCACACCATGGCACCACCAGCCTGAACCATTGATACAAGGCAGGGTGGATCCACCACACCATGGCACCACCAGCCTGAACCATTGATACAAGGCAGGATGGATCCACCATACCATGACAACACAACCAGCCTGAACCATGGATACAAGGCAGGATGAATCCACCAAACCATGACACCACCACCACCAGCCTGAACTGTGGATACAAGGCAGGATGAATCCACCACACCATGACACCACCACCACCAGCCTGACCCATTGATACAAGGCAGGATAGATCCATGCTTTCATGTTGTTTACGCCAAATTCTGACCCTACCATCTGAATGTTGCAGCTGAAATCCAGACTCATCAGACCAGGCAATGTTTTTTCAGTGTTCTATTGTCCAATTTTGGTGAGCCTGTGCGAATTGTAGCCTCCGTTTTATGTTCTTAGCTGACAGGAGTGGCACCCGGTGTGGTCTTCTGCTGCTGTAGCCCATCTGCTTCAAGGTTGGATGCGTTGTGCATTCTGAGATGGTATTCTGCATACCTTGGGTATAACAAGGGGTTATTGGAGTTACTGTTGCCTTTCTATCATCTGGAACCAGTCTGCTCATTCTCCTCTGAACTCTGACACCAGCAAGGCATTTACCTCCACACAACTGCTGCTCACTGGATCTTTTCTCTTTTTTGGACCATTCTCCGTAAATCCCAGAAGATCAGAAGCTTTTGAAATACTCAGACAAGCCCGTCTGGCACCAATAACCATGACATGTTCAAAGTCATTTAAATCCCCTTTCTTCCCCATTCTGATGCTCGGTTTGAACTTCAGCAAGTTGTCTTCACCACGTCTAGATGCCTAAATGCATTGAGTTGCTGCCATGTGATTGGCTGATTTGTGTTACCAAACAATTGAACAGGTGGACCTAATAAAGTGGCCGGTGAGTGTATGTCAAAACAGAGGTGATATCCTGAGCAGCTTTATAGACAAAACGAGTGAAATTGATAGAAATAGCAGAAGACCAATACAGACTTCTAATCAATACAAGAAGTGGTCATGTGTGTCCTTTCTGATTGATTCGGATGTAACCTGATCACATTCTTTGTAAAGTCCAGGAGCGTAAATTGTGTGGCTGAGCATACTACTCTTCCTGCGACAACCCAAAACCCACCAAACATCCCTCACCAGCCACCAACCTGCTCCTCTTCCGTGTTGATGACCACCAGATGGGAATCTTTGTCCTCGCAGAGCTTCTTCGATGCAATCCATGAATTCCCAACCAAAGGGAGGAAGTAACAGCTGGACTCGAAGGTGCTCCATCCCGATGGACAGGTGAAGTCACCTGATCCTACAGGTGGGAAAGGACAATGTCAGCCCAATGGAAGGAGTGGCTAGAGAGAGGTGGTGAGGTCAAACATCAGAGAATCAAGAAACAAACTAATGTCCAAGGCTATGACAATAATTTTTCACATCCTGAAGATCTCTAACCGAACCTTTCTTCTGTCAAAATATAGAGAAGGGTTAGACCCTCGGTGTGAATTCTATTGCTGTCTGTATCCTCTCTGGGGAGATTCATCCCTCTATCCTGGTGTCACTGGACAGGATGTGATGGGAAATATGACATTTCAGTCTTCACCAGAACAGGAATATGGAAAGCTTCCAATTGGGGAACCTGTTCTGGTGACAACTGTTTAAGATGGGATGTTTCGTCCCTCTGGAGATGACTCCTCCTACTTCATCTGGTGTCTGAGATGGGTTTTAGCCATTCCCTAGATGACTCCTACTTGGATTCTAACCATTCCCTAGACAACTCCCACCTTCACTCTACTTTCATTCTAATCATTCCCTACACAATTCATTCTACTTGGGTTCTAACCATTCTCTACACAACTCCTACTTGGTTCTAACCATTCCCTGGACAACTCCTTCTACTTGGGCTCTAACCATTCCCTCAACAATTCCTTCTACTTGGATTCTAACTAGTCCCTACACAACTCCTTCTACTTGGTTATAACCATTCTCTAGACAATTACTTTTACTCGGTTCTAACCATTCCCTCAACAATTCCTCCTACTTGGGTTCTAACCATTCTCTAGACAACTCCTTCTACTTGGTTCTAACCATTCCCTCAACAATTACATCTACTTGAGTCCTAACCATGTCCTGGACATTTGCTTCTACTTGGTTCTAACCATCCCGGAGTCTTTATGAAATTAAAACTTGAATTGTTCTCCAATGACAGAAGTAAATCCCTGACTGGGTTCCTCTGTATGGCCTCTACGCTCACACCATGTATGGTGTCCTTAGTTTGGATCTTTTTATCCCCCGATGACTCAGAATATCTGTTTCATTGAGTAAACTCACCATTCACCTGCAGCTTCTTCACCTGATAGGAGAGTCTCTGGATGGCATTGAGGGCCCTATTCAAAGTAATTCCTGTAATAGGAAGAAAATAATGGCTGAAAATGTTCCCTGACATTCAACTCCAACATCTACCCATCAATGACACCCAACACCACTCTATCACTGTACCCTTATTACTTCTCATTCACCAACATTCCACATCACATGACACCAAACCTCCCCATCACATGACCCCAATGCCCCACATTGCATGACACAAACACTGCATAACACATGACACCAAAACTCCCCATCACATGACCCCAATGCCCTCACATCACATTACACCAACATTCCAGATCACTTGACAACAATACTCTAAATCACATGAGACCAACACTCAACATCACATGACACCATCACCCTACATCCCATGACATCAACACTCCACATCCCACAACAGCAACACTTCATATCTCATGACACCAACATCCTACATCATTTTACACCAACATTCCACAGCCCATGACAGTAACACTCCACATTACATAAAACAAACAAGTCATGTCACATGGCACCAACACTTCTTGACACCGGATACCAACACTTCACGAAACATGACACCAACACTTCATGAAACATGACACCAACACTCCACAACTGATGACACCCAACAAAACATATCACATTACACCAACATATCACAACATGTGACACCAGCACTCTATATTTTATCCCTATTCTAATCCAATGTCATGCATATTATTCATAAACACATGACACCATCCATTCATTCTATTCTCAGACATTTACCCAGCACCATGCTAATCAACGAAAACCATCAAAAGATGTTCCAGAGTTCATCAGCTGCATACATTTCTACCTTCACTAACATAAAGCATGATAATGAAATTGGAGCCTCATTATTGGTCAGCCAGGCACTCTCATTAGATAGGGGACCAGCGGGTGAGCAGGGCTATGGCCTATGTTGAGATCTCCAAAGCAAAGTGAAAGAAATCTCAGAGGGGTCAAAGAGAAGGAATTCTGGATTAGAGGATTAAGGCCTATGTTGAGGCCTCCAATGCTGGGTGATGGTAATCTGTGATGGTGACAAAGAAAAAGATTTCTAGATTGAAGGATTTCTGGATTGGAGAACTATGGCCTAAACTGAGTTCTCCAATGCTAGGTGAAGGCAATCTCAGAGGTGACAACGAGAAGGATTTCTGGATTGAAAGATTTCTGGATTAGAAGATTATTTCCTATTTTGATTTCTCAAGTGCTGGGTGAAGGTAATCTAAGAGGGGACAAAAAGAAGGATTTCTGAATTGGAGCTTTATGGCCTATGTTGAGGTCTCCAATGCTGGGTGATGGTAATCTCTGAGGGTGACAAAGATAAGGATTTCTGGATTGGAAGATTATGGCCTATGTTGATTTCTCCAGTGCTGGGTGAAGGTAATCTCAGAGGAGACAAAGAGAAGGATGTCTGGATTGGAGAACTGTGGCCTATGTTGAGACTCCCAATGATAGGTGAAGGTAACCTCAGAGGCGACAAATGGAAAGACTTCTAGATTGGAGGATTTTTTGGTTAGAGGATTATAGCCTTCTTGAGGCCTCTAGTTCTAGGTTAGATCAATCTCAGAGGGGGCATAGAGACGAATTTATGGACTGGAGGATTATGGCCTACATTGAGGCTCAATGCTGGGTGAAGGTAAACATAGAGGGGTAAAGAGAAGCATATCTGGACTGGAGGATTATGGTTTACATTGGGGCTCCCAATGCTAGGTGAAGTTAATCTCAGAGGGAGCAAAGAGATTTCTGGATTGGAGGATTATGGCCTATGTTGATTTCTCCAATGCCGGATGAAGGTAATCTCTGCGGGTGATAAAGAGAAGGATTTCTGGATTAGAGGATTATAGCCTAATTGATATAAAAATATCCTGATGAAGCCACGTGACATCGTGGAGTAACGTGTAGAGCACGGTGACGTACTTCCGGTTACGCACTTTCGGCAGACGCCATCTTTGAACACCCAGTACCTTGCAGTACACCCACAGCACATGGGAGACCTGCTGGATGAGATCTTCAATACTGTGAGTGTTCTCTTTTGGCTTGTTTTCATCTGCTATATGGAATAAACGGCATCTCACTATGGAGGCTCTTTGTCTACCTCTCTATGGCCTTGTGATTATCCCGGGAGTATCACCATCTGAGGGCATACGTGACCTGGCAGAGGAGATCGAGTGCTACTACAGGAGAATTATTACAGAGATCCCCAGTCTGGTGGAGCTATATTACCTAAAGCATTGTGGCCCTTGCGGGGGGGGGGGGGGGGGGGGGTCGCATGGTTAAGGTGAGGAGGCACTTTAGCCACTTTTGGATTACGATATACACGTGTGGCATGCTAACACGCGTCATGTTTGGAGTGAAGAATTGAAGCGCTGACATCGCGGTGTTTGTTTGCACATGAAAAGTCAGGCACTTTGTTATTGCACTTTATTGTGGATTTTAATTTTTACCAATATTCATCCTCATACTGAGCACCTGTCACTTCCAGTCAGAGTGTGCGATGTCATTGTGTATTTTTTCACTGTGCATATATTAGATTTTGGCACGATCTAGTCAACAAACGCATGACCTGTTTTCAGCACTTGGCACTTATATATTTTTTATTTAGCACTAGTTATCTATACCTTTCAATACAGTGTGGTCACTTTATATGTATTTTATATCATTGCACCTACATATTTAGTTTTTCATGTGAAGCGCTTCACCAATATTGTTTATTTTATAGCCTAATTGAGGCCTCTAGTTCTAGGTTGGATCAATCTCAGAGGGGGCATAGAGAAGAATTTATGGACTGGATTATGGCCTACATTGAGGCTCAATGCTGGTTGAAGGTAATCTTAGAGGGGGCAAAGAGAAGCATGTCTGGACTGGACTGGAGGATTAT